AACCCTATTCTAACTATTAAAGGCCCCTACGCTAGGCCCAAGCTCGTCGCAGGAGCGCCCTCGCTTCCCGTGGCCGAGCTCTTCCGAAGCTCCCTCGATGCAGGAGCCGGCTTTGCTTAGGAACCCTAAATAACCGGCGGTTCCTATTAGGGTTTAGGGTTATAGGGTTTAGGGTTTACGGGTTTAGGGTTTAGGGTTATAGGGTTTAGGGTTTACGGGCTTAGGGTTTAGGGTTATAGGGTTTAGGGTTATAGGGTTTACGGGTTTAGGGTTTAGGGTTTAGGGACCCACCTCAACCTACCAAAACCTGCTTTTTTGTAGGGTCCCTACAAATTTCATATTAGGGTTGATAATACGAGCCTACAGAAAAGTAGGTTTTGGTAGGTTCAGGTATCATAAACCCCAGACCCCTACGAAGTATTGAATTTAAAAAGCCCTGAAGTCAAAATAACCCAAGTCTCTAACAAAGCAGGTCCAGGTGAGGCTTATTTTGGGCATCTATTGTTTAGGGCTAGTTTTGCTGGTTGGAGGTGTTGCGTATACTTGCGCAGGGTTCTATGTTTGGTGAAACTGTGTGCCTAAAGTAGTGATGTCTAGTTTGGACTATCGGCTTTTATTTGTATCACACTTAATGTTTCGGTGTAAGCGTTACTTAGTCCCTATATATGTTCTGAGATGCAAGGTTTGCGTTCTCTACTGTTTCGTGTGCTTAGTAGCTGAGTAGGCAGCGTTAAGCCGTTAGCTCATTGTCTTTTTGGGGTCAATTAGGGGACTTAGCAACCCTAAACCCTAAACCTTAGTGTTCCTCTTGTCTGCCTTTGGACACAGGGCTGGATGCAGAGCTTTGGCGCCGGAACGACATGTGTATTCCTACACCCTAAACCTCGAAGCCCTAAACCTGAATCCCAAAGCCCTAAACCCTAAAGTCTCAGCCCTAAACCCTAAACCCCAATCCCTGAGAGCTATGCCTTCAGGTCCGATTCATGACTTGTCGGGTTCCGACCCTCCATAGCCCTAGCAATCTAGCACTCCTTCAGTCAACAGGGTTTAGGGTTTAGGGGTTTGGGTTTAGGGTTTAGTATAGGTTTAGGGTTTAGGGTTTAGGGGTTCAGTGTTTAGGGTTAAGGGTTTCGGGTTTAGGGTTTAGGGCTTGGCAGTTCTGTCAAGGGCCCTTGTGAGGCTCTAAAACCCCAACATTCCATGCACCCAACTTTGCATGTATTGTGGCGTTGTAAGGCTTAAACAGGGGTTCTACTAGGGCCCAAACCCAGGCCAATCAGGTTTCTATCAAGGCTCCATTAGGGTTTGCTCAGGTTGCGTCAGGCTAAAAGCCCAATTATGAGCTGAACACCCCCCAACTACCCTCTATTATACCCTAAATACCCACTATTAAGGACCACAAGGGTTCTATTAAAGGGTACTTGGGGGGTGCTGATGAACCCTGGACAAAGGGTTTAGTCTGCAGGGTTCAGGGCATGCCGGAACTACGGGAACCTTGTGCAAGCCCTGAATACCCCCAACAACCCAATGCAATGATATTTCGCAGTCGCGGGATATTTGTATGAGCTATGCTCAGAAATCATTCAGGCCCCGTCCCTAAACCCTAAACCCCTAAACGCCTAAACCCTAAACCCCTAATCCCTAAATCCTAAACCACTAAACCCCTATACCCTAAACCCTAA